GTTCTGTACTTCTGCACATGGGGGAACTGGCTTTTGCTGCAAATGAAGGTGATTCTGCTTCCACAGAGGCCAGGAATTCTGTAAAAGTTGGGGTGGGGTGGGTAGAGAGGAATGTTCAGCACTGAACAGACCACACACTTGTCAATGTCCTCAGTGGGAGCAGAGACCTGATACTCCTGACATCAGGGCAGCAGCTGGAAGGTGTAAATCACAACAGGAATTCTTCCAAAACAAGTAAAAATATGAAAAGAATTTTGATGAACATGAAATACATCTGTAGCTACAACAAGACATGAGTACTTAAACTTTTTTTGTTGATGTTCTGGTTTAGATTCTTCAGGTGCAAGCAGATACATAGACAACAGTGGAATTTTTTCTGACCACTGCTATAGTGTCTGTTCCATGAGACAGCCAGATCTAAACAGAGGTAAGACTATGTTTTGGGGTCTTGTTCTGCACTTCTTTAATGTATCATCTTCCTTTTCATAGAAGCAAATAGAATACACAGCAGGTGATTTCTGAGTGTCCTTGTGACCTGATGGGCCTTAGACTGCTGGGAGATTGTTCAAATGTTACAGCTGAAATACAGTGTTCAAAGTAGAAACAATGACAACAAAAAGACCCTTCAATTTTACATTTATAATGGTGATTAAACTAATTCCAGTACTCATTACCTAGGAAACAAAGTTGATGAGTTCAGGTGAAAATTTCCAACAGTTGCATTGAATTGTACTTGTACCTGGCAAAACAAAATGCCTTTTTATAAAACATCCAATAGTGGGTGGAAAGTTAGCAGAGTAAATGTGATGGTGGATTTTTAGTCCATTTATTTTTCTTTTCACTTTAATAATTAACCATAAAGTCTGCAGAAGTTTTTAAAAGTATCATATTTTAAAGTGCAATGTCCAGAAATATTGGAGAATATTTTTAAGTTGTGTCTTTTAAATGTAATGTTTCATATAAGGATGTTAATTTTTTTTCTGTACAACCAGCTGAGTATTTTCAGTAGTAAATTCAGTATTTTCTGCTGAAATCTTCTAGACAGATGTTACTTTTTAATTCTTTTGTTTTTCTCTGCATGTATGGAAATAATTTTCAAGGTATTTTGTTGTTACTTTTTTAAAATGTAGGTTATGATGTGCTTAGTGTATAAAGATAGATTTATGCAAGTAGAATAAATAAATAGTAAGATCTATGACTAAATTCAGGAATCAGGATGATGCTAGTGTGAAGAAATGATGACAAGGAAGTGCTTCCCTTCGTTTGCAGGCAGATTCCACAGTCCTGTGCAGAGCCTGGACACGGATGATGACGGGAGTCCGGTGCATGCCGGGAGCTCTCACTGGAGCGGGGCACACTCAAACATTGGGATGCACTGCACAGACCCTAAAAAGAAGGATAAAGGTAAAGGTCAGTGTGTTTGCAGATGAGGTGCTGGGAGGTTGGAAAGCCCAACTGCTGCTGGCTTTTTGTGTAGCTTCCTTGCTTTGACAGAAATGGTGAAGGATTTACATTTTCTGTTATTGCTTTGTTAGCTGAAAATACAGCATTGTCCGGCAGGGGAGAAATAACAGGTCTTTTCATTTGAAAGCTGCTGCAGCTGACTGAAAAGTTAAAAATGGGCCCAGGTGTTTTGTATTGGGTTTTTTTCAACCTTTTGTTATGTATTTCTTCCTGCAGATAAAGGTACTAACAATGGAATGTGCAGAGACTTATGTGACTCACCTATATTCAGTGACAGCCCCACAGAAGAAGAGAAACCTCTAGATATCCAAACTGTAGAAATTTCTACAACAGAAGTGAATGCTGTAGAAGTTCACGATATAGAAACACAGACTGTGTCACCTGAGAAGCTGGAAGCTGAGGACCTTGAGGAAATCCCTCTGGAGACCTGTAAAATCTTTGAGAAGAACCAGGCTTTGAATATCACAGCTCAACAGAAATGGCCCTTGCTGAGAGCCAACAGCAGCGGCTTGTACAAGTGTGAGCTCTGTGAGTTCAACAGCAAGTACTTCTCTGATCTGAAGCAGCACATGATCCTGAAGCATAAGACGTGTACAGACACTCATGTCTGTAAAGTTTGTAAAGAAAGTTTCTCCAGCAAAGTGCAGCTCATTGAACACGTAAAACTACACGAGGAGGATCCATACATCTGTAAATACTGCGATTACAAAACGGTGATTTTTGAGAATCTGAGTCAGCACATAGCAGACACTCACTTCAACGACCACCTCTACTGGTGTGAGCAGTGTGATGTGCAGTTCTCCTCCAGCAGCGAGCTGTACCTGCACTTCCAGGAGCACAGCTGTGACGAGCAGTACCTGTGCCAGTTCTGTGAGCACGAGACAAACGACCCCGAGGATCTGCACAGCCACGTGGTGAACGAGCACGCGTGCCGGCTCATCGAGCTGAGCGACAGCTACAACAACAAGGAGCGCGGCCAGTACAGCCTCATCAACAAAATCAGTTTTGACAAATGCAAAAACTTCTTTGTGTGCCAGGTGTGCGGCTTCAGGAGCAGGCTGCATACAAATGTCAACAGGCACGTAGCTATTGAGCACACCAAAATATTCCCTCATGTTTGTGATGACTGTGGGAAGGGGTTTTCAGGTATGTTGGAATATTGCAAGCACCTAAGCTCTCATTTATCTGAAGGGATTTATTTGTGTCAATACTGTGAATATTCAACAGGACAAATTGAAGACCTTAAAACTCATTTGGATTTCAGGCATTCAGCGGATTTGCCTCATAAATGTACTGATTGTTTAATGAGGTTTGGGAATGAAAAAGATCTTTTAAGTCATCTTCAGATACATGAGACGGTGTGATTGCTTTCTTTTTCTGTAATCAGTTTGTTAGAATTTGAATTCATTTCCAGTCACTGGAATGTGATATTAAATACAATTTTAACAGCAATTGTACATTTCTAATGTTTTCATCTTTATATCAGCAAAGCATGTAGAGCACTTGGTGTTGTGAATTTCCTTGTCTACTTTCAGTAGGAATAATAATCACATTTACACTGTGATAGATCAGATTTTGGGGGGAGGGACAGTGGGAGTAATTGCATGTTGTGATACCAGTTCTGGTCGTCATCCTGCTCTTCATGTCTAGTGTACAAGACCACCTCTCGTAAATTTAAAAAAGCACAAAAACAAAGCAAATATCTAATTCCACACTTAAATAACCCAGTACTGGTCTCAGTTCCACATCCAGCTCATGTTACCCTGGGTGGCAGCAGGTCACTGCACTGGTGTTTAGCAGTAGCACTGGCCTGCCAAAGATAAGGGTGCTCCAAAAGCTCCCAGGCATGGACATCTCCAGATTCACATACCAGCCTTCATTTCCCACCTCATGCTCCTGATAAGCTTTGCAATTGTCCTGTTTTTCTCCTGGGATACCTTTCTGACCTAACTTCACTTTGTTCTGTGGGACTGTCCAACACATGCACAACACACTCTTCCACATATGTACTACACAACTTCCACATGATATTCCCTTTATTTACCTTCAGTTCTTGCCTTTTAATGCACTGAGGAGAAACACATTGCTTGGGTTTGGATTGGATTGTGTTCTAAAGAGTGATTGCAAAAGGAATTTGCAATGATCCTGCTGAGAATGTACAAAATGAATTTATTATATAAAATCCTAATGCAGCTCTCACTGAAATTATGAATGTCACCAAGCTCTGACTAGAGAAAACTTCTAGTAGTCTATATTATTGTAGTAATCCTGTATAATTATCTTTTCACCACTAGTAACTTGAGGAATGTTATTTTAACTCTGTAAATGTTTAACTTTTATATAGGGGGCTTAAAAGACTGGTACATTACAAAATTTTTGCTAATCATTCTCAAATTATTTCACACATTTGTTTATATTATACAAAGCACTGTCCTGCCATTGCAATTATTGGAAGTGAGTTTTTGCAGTTTATTCTGTAGCTCTATATCTGAGTGGATACTTGGACAGATAAAAAAAACAAGAGGGGGGTCACTTAGATCATGCTAGATACCATGGTGAAAATATCCGTAATAATTACTGGTGGAGTTTACATTTCTTTCTTCATTGATTGTAAATTTGTAATGTAAGATTGTCTAATGCAAGCTTTGTATAGAGATAATTAATGTATCAAACATTTCTTGATCAGTGAGGTTTGGTGTTACCAGCTTCAAGGCGTGCAAGAGTCTTTGGATTTGATTTTTAAAGCTAAGGATAAAATTCGCCTGAATGTTATCGATTAATGGAAGTTCTGATATCCAGAGAAGTATTTCTGGAAAGTCTATGAACCACTTAGTGTTTATTTTGTTGTGAGAGGAAAGACCATTTCTGTCACTTTGAAATGCTGATACACTACTAGATCTTGTGTTTTGTCATTGAAAGGGCAACCTGAAGGTGTCTTGCTGTATTTTATTACTCCCTTGTATAGAGAATGACAGTATCTGTGGTAGAATTGCTGATTTCCTATTTTGAACACATTCTTCCCTGGCTGGCTTAAAGTTATAGCAATAATACAGTTAACAAAACACTAAGATTAATTATTTTCTATATGAAAAGTTAATTTTGCTCATATATCTGAAAGGGGGAATGCTGGTTCTCTGAAAACTCTGCTTCTGCTAATGGCACAGAGGTGGAATGGCACAGCTGAGCTCTGGAGAGAAAGCTGCTCTGGGAGACAAAAAGTGGAAAAAAGGCATTTTAAAATCCCCCAAAATATTTAAATAAGGGGGCTTAAGAAGTGTGTATATTTGTGTAGACCAGCATTGTGTCCCCAGCAGGAAAGGTGGTGTCCTGTGCCAGCACAGAGCCCTGTGACACAGCAAAGTTGCTTGTTGACATGAATAACTTCATGTCTGTCTTTGAGTTATTTCTGATCTCTAAAATGGGAATCAAAACAATCCCCCACAGGAATGCTGTGAAGCCAAATCATTCCAAACTAAAATGCAGCGTCTAAACAGGAAATGTATCCAAGGTTATTTTAGGTTGGATTTTATAAATGAGGGACTAATGTTAATATTTTCTTTTTAATCTCTGTCAGGGAGTAAAGGGAAGTGTACGGCAGTAGCATGTCTCATTTTAAAAGGGAAAACAAGTACACTGCTGGCTTCCACATGATCTGCATGTTAAAGCAAGAAAGTTACTAAGTAGTAGGAAAAATAGGTAATGAGTGTGCCTGGAATCTGGAGGGCTGAAGGGCATGGCTGAGCATGCCAAGGACAGGGACGACATTTGGGTTATTTGGGTGAAGTGGAGGTGAGTGCCCTGAGCTGAGCGCAGCTGCTCTGGTACGGCCACAGATCTGTCACCCTGGAGCCTGAGCAGCTCGTCTCAGTCCGGAGAGGCAGAAATAAACTCTAGGGACCAGGACTGTGCCAGTATTTATTATTTTTCTCCAAGGCAGTAAGTATCAAATTCTGGTTGTTCACTGGTACCTGCAAGGTTCAGCTGTTTCAGGAACAGCATTGCAAGCAGAAGCTATGCAAAATCATGACATTGGTTTTGGTAGTGTTTTGTGTTTGTGAGAGACCTGTATTTGATTCTTTGCTTTTCAGACTTTTGAACCCTTTGTTTCAATGTGTGACTCGATTTTAGGGGTATTTTCCAACCATAACAAATCTCTGTGTGTCAGATTCCTAGATCATATTTCTTATTGAGCAAAAGACCTTTTTCATGTGAAAGACTGTTGACTTCAAAGTTTACATCCCACAAATTGTTGCAAAATCTTGAAATACAGCGGATTAGTAATCCTCAAATATCGTGTCCTCTAGAATGCTGTTGTCGCCGATTTTCATTTTGGTTCTCGTTTCCTATTGCTCCCGTACCAAACGCATGAGGTACCGGTCTCTTTAACTCCTGAAGGCCCGCGGCCTTGGCCCTTGGGGACTTTGTCCAGACCGCGGAGCTGAGGGTGAGCCCTGAGGGCTGATCGCGGCCTCTGCCCCCGGCCTCTGCCCGGCTCCATTTCACGAACTGCCCGCGCTCAAGATGGCGGCGGCCGCCCTCAGCCCGCACTGAACATGGCGGTGCCGGCGCGGGGGTCATAGGAGGAGGAAAGGGAAGTGACGCCCCCCCGTCCCGGCGGCGGCGGTGACGGGCACGGCCGGGGCCAGCGGGGCTCCGTGAGGGACAGGGGCCGGGACCGGGAGGTCCGTGAGAGACTAGGGGGGAGCGGGGGCTCAGGGAGGGACCGGGGCTATGCCAGGGCTCCGTGAGAGACCGTGACGAGCGGGGGTTTCGTGAGGGACCGGGGCCGAGCCCGGGCTCCATGCGGGACCAGGGCCGAGCCAGAGCTCTGTGCGGGACCGGGACCGAGCCACAACTCTTTGCGGAACCGGGGCCGAGCCAGAGCTCTGTGCGGCACCGGGGCTGAGCCGAGGTTCCGAGAGGGAGCACCATGAGGGACTGGGGCCGCCGCTGCCCCTCGGCCTGAGGGAGCCGGGGCTCCGGGAAGGAGCGGGGCCCCTCCTCGCTGGCCGGCGGGACAGCGCTGACCCACGGGCGAGGGGAGGCGGGAGCTGTGTGTGGCGAGGGGAAAGCCTCGTGTTTCCGGGACAGATAGCAGCCGATCAGTTCGAACCTGTCCCCGAGTTTCGCCAGCTGCTCTTGGCGCTTGTGGTGAGGAGAGGAGAGTAAACAGATCAAACTGAGCTTACTGCCCTTTGGAGTCTAGAGCTTTGATTTGGGGCTTCAGGCTTTTTTGTTTTGTTCTGTTTTGTTTCTTAATGGCTGTGTGAGCAGTGTATAAGTTTTAATTAGCTGGGTGTACTGAGTGTTTGGTCACTTGATGCACCTTTCCTTGCAGCTGCAGCATGGCAGAAGCCTCTGTCTCTCCACTGAAGCACTTTGTGCTGGCCAAAAAGACCATCACTGCCATCTTCGACCAGCTGCTGGAGTATGTCACTGAGGGAGCAGCGTTTGTGGAAGGTGAGCTTTCTCCTTAAACACGAGGGCCTTGTCCTTTGTTCTGAGTATGTTTTACTGCAGCATAATGTACCTTATGTTATCTGTTACTGTGCTCTTTGTATAAACCTGCACCTTCAGAAATAGTCCCATATTTCATTTGACGCTGGGTTTTTTTTCATCTTGTGCTGGAAGGAATGCCTGGCATTCCTACATACCTGAAAAGCTGATTAACTCACTTGGATTGGCAGTCTGGTCTCTTTTCCATGAGGTGAAAGCTTAACCATTCTGGCCTTGTAGTTCTGTGGCAGTTTGTTTTGCACCGAAGGAGGGACAAACAGGTTCTCCCATTTTTCAGCAGAAAGGTGCAGTGATGCAATGCAGGGAGCCACTGGTCACACCCTCAGAGGTTTTAGCAGCGTGGCCACACAGAGCTGGTTGCTCACCATCCCGGTGAGCTCTGCGGGGGAGGCAGCCCAGCTTAGCTGGTGCATCCATGGGAGATCCTGGCTTTCCTTTCTGAAGGAAGCAGGTGTCCCAAGGAACTGGGCATGTGAGCCCATCGGGCTGTGTTCACTGGGTTAGTGGATCAGAGGTTGGGTTGGTGATTGATCTGAAGTGATTTGTGTTGTGATTTCACCAGTGCTTGTGGCAGAGCTGTCAAATGATAAGGGCTGGTATCAGTGGCTATAGTGAGGTTTTTCTTGTTTTGTTTAACCACTGTAATTAAAATTGCAGTTGGCATGTTAAGTACTGATTGCTTACACCTTGTATCACAGAACACATTCTCTGTGTGTGATTGCTTTTATGTTTTTCCTTTCTGTGTGTAGCCACGTACAAGAACCCAGAGCTTGATCATATAGCAACTGAAGATGAACTAGCAAAAATACAAGCATATAAAAACAAGTTGGCAGTCATTGGAGAGGTGCTTTCACGGAGACACATGAAAGTGGCTTTTTTTGGCAGGTAATGAACGAAATTACTAGTACTTAATTTCACTTTTTTTTAACTTGGTAAGGTCAGAGGTTGTTCTGTTCTCCAGAAAGGCTTTTGGGTTTTTTTAAGGTAGTGGGTTTTTTTTTGTTCTGGACTGTTCCTTAGGCCTTTTTTTTTTTTATTTGATCAGAAGTGCTGAAGAACTGAACTTGAAGCTGTTCATGCTTCTATCTATAAGCAGCTGAAGAGAAACAGAGATGGTTGCCTGGTTGGTTGTAACATCAGTCTGATAGGTCTGTGTGATGATTTTAAGGATAGCAGTAACGGTGTGGTCTGCTAGTCCGCTTTGCTTCTGGGAATTGATTTTTCTGTGCTTACATTTAAACATGTGGTTACATGTTTTTGGAGTGTGAATCTTCATGGTTCTAAAAATTCTGCAGTAGTATTGGAAGAGATGTGCAATGGTGGTCTTGCCTTCATTTTGCTAAAAGTAGTTTAGTTATTTAAAGAAAAGCTATAAAAAGTTCTGGAATAAAGAAATTTATTATATCTCAGCCTTGATATTTCAAAAAGTTAAAAGCTGAGTATAAGCTGTATAAGAATATGAATATAAGCTGTATAAGAGTGTGATAAAAGTTTCCCTTTTGCAAAGGGAAAAAGTTCTGAGCAGGACAAAGACAGCTCAACTCTCCCTCTGGCATTTTGAATAAATTCGTGAACTGTTGTACAGTGAGCACTGAACTTTTTCTGGAAGTAGCTCAAAAACTAGTTACAATCTATGTAACTTCATGCTGTTGTGTAATAGTTAAACCTCAGATATTTATGGGTGAGGGGTAGAGGGTTAGTGCAAAGTAGGACACTGCTGAGGACTTCAAGTTGCAGAACATGCAGCTGGTGACCAGTTCCTGTGAATGAGCACTCCCCACTCCTGGCTGGAGCTGTGTTCCCAAACCAGCTTGTGCTCTGTGGGGCTGGTGCCCTCCAGTGGGGGTGCATTCAGTTCAGCACAAAGGTGTGTTTGATGCTGCTGTGCTCTGCTCAAAGTACTTTTGTTTTCTATCCCTCTAGAACAAGCAGTGGGAAAAGTTCAGTCATTAATGCCATGCTGTGGGACAAGGTACTTCCCAGTGGGATTGGCCATACAACAAACTGCTTCCTCAGTGTGGAAGGGACTGATGGAGATAAGGCTTATCTTATGACAGAAGGATCAGATGAAAAGAAGAGTGTCAAGGTACATTTCTTGGATGATTTCATGCCAATTTTCACAGGAACTGACTCTCACAGGGTCTCTTTAACAACAGTTTCAAGTCTAACAAAAGTATAAGGCTCACTCATTCTGCATTTTTAAGTTCTTATTTAGGAGGGAAGAGCAAACTAATGAAAGTGCTCTGCTCCACAGTTTTCTTGGCTGTTCTAGAGATACAGCTAACATGTGTCTCATTGTAGCATAGCATGTGTTGAGTGATTTATTTTTATAGGACTCAGTAAGTCCTGTTACTGATTAAGGATTTGGAATGTGCCCTTCATTTGGACTGATGGTGTGAACTGCGTACGCTGATTTGTTAAACCTGAGGCAAATTCATGGTGATGCTCAGTAGCACACAGTCCAGCCCTGTAGGGGCATTTGTGGCTCAAAAGAAACTCTTGTCTGAGTTTCAAGGCACAACTTGTTCTTTAGATGCTGGTGAGTTGAAGAGCTTAAAGAAAAAAAATCACAACTATTCACCAGAACAAAGTATGAACTCTGTTACCCTCTTCAAGATAGATCCTGTCCAAGTTTGCTTGAGAGCTGAATTAGTCTGGTTTACAGACTTGTTTGAGGTGCATATTCATGTTTGTCTTCTCTTTGATGCTCTCTCTAGACAGTCAATCAGCTGGCTCACGCACTTCACATGGATAAAGATTTGAAGGCTGGCTGTCTCGTCCATGTCTTTTGGCCCAAGTCAAAGTGTGCCCTGCTGAGAGATGATTTGGTTATAGTGGACAGGTATCTCTTCTGTTTTAGTAAATACTTTCTTAAGGATGTTAGCCATTACAATGTTTAGAAAAGGGATTGGTTTAGATTCAAAATTCTTGAAAGGCTTTTTTGTTCGAAAGGACAGAGTTTGTTCTTTTGTATGTACTGCTTGTCATCACCCTCCTGATTCTGCCCTTGTAGCAGTTGGAACAGATGGGTGTCTTGTGACTGAGCTGAAAAAGGGAATAGCCTTTGGCTGAGGATACTCTACCTTTGAAACAAGCAGTATGGAAGTGTGAATAGGGTTGTTGCAGCAACAACCTTTTGCCCATTTCCTTTCTTGAAATGCTTCAGACAGATCATGTGAAGTATAAACAATGTGGACTTCTTTTTTAAAAGCTTTTGATAAGAGTTAGAGTGCCAAAGTAATGTGTGACCTCAAAATGTAGTTGTGACTGTGTCAGCTGAGTGTGCCCTGCGTTGGGCTGGCATTTCCTGTGAGTTGATGTGTTTAAAGAATTCTGGAGGTGGTTGTTTTGTCCGTGCCAAATGCCCTTATTTCTGGCCACTGCATTATAACCTACAGTAGCTTTTCAAACGTTCAGGTGTTCTGTATGTGATGTGTAAATCAATAAATACTGAATTTGAGAGTAATTCACACAGGTGTCAGTGAATTTTTAATTATGATTTCTTCAAGAAAACAGCACACTCAGAGTGTTCTAATAAATTGCAGTGGTTTTTGTTCCATCTCTGTCTTGTACTTCGAAGTCACTGGGAGTTTGTTGTTATTTCTTTGGGTGCCTGATCTTGGATCTGTACAGTCTCTGTTGCTAAAGAGAAGAGTATATATTCTGAGAGAGCAGGTACTTGAAAAGAGCAGATCATCCTTTTACTGTTAAATATTTGAGAAAATTTGAACCACAATAATTTAGGTGTTGCAAACATGACTTAATGCTCCTGTTTCACTTAATTTTTTTTTTAATGGATAGCATTATAGTTTTAATTTCATTTTGGTTTCTTTTTAAATCTATGCACAGCTTTCATAGCATATTGCTTTAAACTTGGATTTTATTAATGAAAAAAATATTTTAAGAACTACTGTCTCTTCTGATTCAAATTAGGATCTGAGGAGGGGAACCATTGTGTGAGGCTGTCTGAGTTTCTGATGGACTGCCCGTCACTTCACTTGGCAGTTAATTATGTGTGCATACTTACTAATCAGAAATTGCATTTTGGAATGAGTAGGTAGTCTAATGATCAAGTGACTGATAAATTTGAGATGGTAATTGGCTTGTGCAGTGGTTACCTCAAGTTTGAGCCTCAAGATACAAACCGCTGTAATTCTTGCAAGGCCCTTAGGCATCTCCAGTCTATTTTTAGTAGTTTATAAAAATAAACTACTTCTTTGCTGTGTAAATAAAAGTTTGTGTTTTTTGTTCTTGATAGTCCTGGCACAGATGTCACTACAGAACTGGACAGCTGGATTGACAAGTTCTGCTTAGATGCTGATGTGTTTGTCTTGGTTGCCAATTCTGAATCAACTCTCATGAACACGGTATGATGTGCAATGATTTTATATTCCTTCTTCATTTAAATATTCAGCAGTTCCATAACCAGAATAGCTGAGACCTTTACAGAAGGTGAATCACTGCACTTAGGTCTTGTGAATAGGACTTGGGGGTGGGAGGCAAGAAATAAATGTATATCCCTCACTAGGAAACAGAGAACAAGATTTAAATTTCCAGCTGCCTTGGCTTTCTATGCCTTGGGTGTCATGATTGTCCTTTCCTGTTCAGTTGTGGTTTTGATAAATGGATGATGGAGCGCTTGTCTTGCCTTGCAATTTGTTGGTATTTGTTACCAACAAAAGAAGGCACTTTTGGACTGAAGACACTTGTATTATCAAAGAAATTAAGGAGTGTTTCATATCCAAAAATACTCCATAAATTCAGTAAAATACACAAACTAGGTGAAAGGAGTTGAGTTCCTGTCTTGTTCCTCTCTCAGGAGAGGGTGAATTCCCTTGACACACCTTGTTGAGGATGAGTGCTGCAGGTTCCCTTCTGTAGGCTGTGTTTCTTCTGAAGGTGTTAGCAACAAGGGTTCTGTGCAGTGTGGAGGGCTGAAGATATTTTAATTGTCATTGTTCTATAACACCTTGTTTCAGGAGAGAGAAGAGTTCTCTGAGCATTGCAGCCTAAATATTGTAGGACTTGTAAGAGGAGGGGAACATTTAAGGTGGCCAGAGCAGCTGTTGCAATAATCAAAATACAAGACCAGAAATTTGGTGTAATTTTGTAGTGATCTCCAGTTTTGGCTAAACTGAGTATTGTGGGTGCTGACAATAAAAGGTTTTTAAGTTATTGCAAGTGTGACTGCAAGAATGCAGAGTAATCCTACTGAGAAAATTCCTGGTGATTTTTATCAAGCCTACTGCAGACAGATAGTATGCTCTGGTTGTTCTGAGCATGGTTCTGACCTGAAAGGTCTGAACTTTCTAACTGTTGAGACAATTTTTAGTACAATAAAGAACTGAGTGTGCAAAGACAGTATTTCTTTGCATTCTAGCAAATTAGAATAGTTTAGTAAGTCTGAGAAGAATGCAGGTTTAAAAACATTGCACTCCATCTTCTGAGCTGAGTCCACAAAGTCAAATACAAGAGATGTAATTTAGACGAAAAAGAAAATTCTTAAAACATTCCAGACAAAGGATTTGGCACCACTGTGGCCATATTTTCTCTGCTGTTCACATGAGTGACACTTCTAGACTTCTAGTATGGACAAAACCTGTAAATTGTTTTACATTATTTGTATAACACAGTTGCTGAGGTCTTTTAATTAAAGGAAAAAGAAAATTTATCTCAGTGAATATCTCACTGCTATATAGATAAGTTGTCCTGCAGATAAAGCTTTTGACAAGTAAAAAGTTCTCATCCTCCTTAAGCGTTGTTTTTGCCTCTTATCATAACAGGTTTGAGAGTACTGGGCATTATTCTGCCACACTGCCAGAGATTTTTTCTGGTGAAAACGTGATTCTTCTACTGTTCCCTCATAAATTCTCCTCAGACAGAGTTCTGATTTCTGCAGGTGCAGTAGTGATCTGGATTGTTTATTCCCAGCTGATGGAGAATAATGGGTCTCCAGTGCTGTGTCCAGGATATGTTGTGGTGTCCTGCTGCAGTCTGGAGAAGTTTATGGCAGCACAGAGATCTCTTCTGTTTCAGCTTTGCTGAGTGGGGACTCACTCCATCACGGCTTACCCATCATGACTGTTAACAGCAATAATGGGTGGTAGATGCAGCCAAGAGACCTAAATACACTTAATTTTGTTAAATTAAGACATTCATCAGTGCCTTTTTTTTCTGTGTCTCAACCATATGTCCTCATGCAGGAAATGTAATTTCTCTGTAGCTCAAGCTGATGTTGCCTAGCTGAGGAATAGTTAGATGATGTATTATCTGGATAGAGAACCAGATTTGACAAGGGTTAGCAGGAGCATCTTGGTAGTTCAGGTAAGGGAGACTTCATTGTTTTAGTCAGGCATCAGTGTTTTTGAACTATTTTTTGGAAGTTTTCTTAGTTTGTATTTTTACCAATTCTTAGAGAAAGTTGCATGTCTTTGACTAGCACTGGCATCAGTTTTAAGACATTTGATGACTTTTGAAGTACCCTAAGCCTGTTGTGTGCTGAATATCTGTGGGTTTTTATACTGATGAATTCTTTATAATAAACTTCTAAACAGCTGGATAAACTTCAGAATCTGTTACAGAAGAATGCATGACTCTGGTTTGGATGTCTGGGAAATTTTCTGTTTGTGCTTTAATTCTTAGGAGAAACACTTTTTCCATAAAGTGAACGAACGACTTTCCAAGCCAAACATCTTCATCCTCAATAACAGATGGGATGCTTCTGCATCAGAACCAGAATACATGGAAGATGTGAGTAAACTGATGGCTCTTACCTGGGTTGACAGTTAATTAATATGCATTAATATGGAAACATCAGCTCTGTCTTACTAATGAAAGGCTAAGTTACATAGTCAGAAAATGGAAATAACCTATTCCTCATTCAAACCAAAAAGTAACTTGCAATTCAAATGGCAGTATATGCAGACAATTAATAAAATGGGAGACTTCTTTAGAACATCTTTCCTCCACTGTTAAGTTTGTTTTTTAATCTTGCTTGTATTACCTTTTGTTTCTGCAGTGATAGTGCAGCCTGAGGGCACAGTTTAGACATTTATACCTTCATAGAGTAGCTGAGAAAGTGCAGTGTTAGCTGGAAGCAGTTTGGATCTTCAGATCTTGCCGACAGCAGCCAGCTTGCAGTGAGAATTATTTCTCCATGTATGGGGAATGAGGGATTTACCCCAGTTAGTGGCTGAGATCTTGGACTTACGTAAATACAGTTGTAGAAGGAAGTATTGTTGTGTCCAGGTCTGTTTAAAGGAGTAAAAGCAGCTGCTGCTTCTGTAGGGTTGGCAGGCACCTGCTCTCAGAGGGTGTTCAGCATCTGTTTCTGACTCTGATGTTGTGATGTGCTGACAGCTCAGTTTTTGCCTTTTTTCATGAGCTTTTTACCTTTTCTGTAGGTGCGTAGGCAGCACATGGAGCGCTGTCTGACGTTCCTGGTCGATGAGCTCAAAGTTATTGATCCTGTAGAAGCAAGGAATCGCATCTTTTTTGTTTCAGCAAAAGAAGTTCTGAGTGCCAGGAGACAAAAGGCTCAAGGAATGCCAGAGAGTGGTGTGTAGCAGCTCCTGCTTTTCCTCAAATACAGAAAAACACTGTAAAACCTGATGAATATATTTAAGGTGCAGTCCCTGCTGTGAGGTACTGCGGTTTCCCTTATAGTCTGTTGTTTCACAGGTGGAGCACTTGCTGAAGGATTTCAAACAAGATTCCAAGAATTTCAGCATTTTGAGCAGATATTTGAGGTATTTATGATGGGCTTTTTAAATTGCTGATTTTTTGTTGTAAAGGTAGCTTTTTCTTATGCTTAGCTTAATTATTCTGAGCATTACCCATAATAGCAAGTGGAGGTATTTAAACCATCTGCTTTGCCTTTTCTGTGGGTTTTGTTCATACCTTCTCACCTTGAGTAGCAGGTAGTTGTTGGAAAGGAGAATTATATCAGTGAGGTCAGGAACCAAAACTCTTAGCTCATGTTCTGAGATCTCAAGACCAATATAGTCTATGTAAGAAGACATTATGGTCTTGAAACGTGTGTATCACTTACAGCCACATGCTGGTGAATGTTTGCAGTAAGAAATTCAGTGTCAGCAATGTAAATCTAAAACTTTACTCTCATATCTAAAGCCAGAGTTTTGAATTTATCACCATTATGTGCCTCTTAGCTCTGTTGCTCTGAGCATTAACACTCTCCTTGCATCCTTGTGCTGTACAGAATCCACCCTTCCACCTTCCACCCTTAACCATATTCATAGTTGGAGTTCACAGTTTCTTCAGAAGTGGGACTGGCTAGACAGTTGAGTGGTTTCTTTGTGATAGGATCCATTTTACTTGCTAAATTTGGTAACTTTAATTAACTAAAGCCATTCTTGGATATCTTAAGGAAGTCTCTTGGGTATCCCTCAGTGGTTTTGTATATGAGTATTTAAAAAAAAATATATAACTGCCTCTGAAAAGTCTTTGTTCTTGCATTACAACAAACCCATTTAACCTTAGCAGAACTGAATTATATAATGATGTGTGTATATGAGAATGGCTTTAAAATAATAGCTTGATTTGGTCTTGTGTCAGCAAGAAAATGTCAGACTAAATTTAATCCTTATCCACACTCTTCTGATAGGTGACTGAAGTGTTGAAATGATGGGTTCAGGGTACTGGCAGGGCCTGGCTCCATGAGACATGACATTTCTTGTGTCACTAGCTGTAGTCAAACATGCATGTTTTTTGCAATTTTTGTCCTCAGAGCCATAGCAGGAAACTTTGAGCCAGCAGGAAAAAAGTGGAAGCCACGCTTCTAAATCAGTTCTTGTTCTTTATTGTATTTTGCCATCTGCTGTACCCAAAGCTTTTTTGACAAAATCTCTTATAATTAGAGTTAAGCACTCAACACTTAGAATATTAGAATATTATTAGAATATTGGAATATTAGAATATTATTAAGCACTTAGAATATTTCAGTATGAAGATGGATGATGACTTACTGAATGATGTGATGCTGTGAGTGCTCAGCACATCTGTAAATCAGACGTCACAGACTAAAGTTTGCCACCACAATGAGAAGGATCTGTCACAAGTTCACAACCATGACAAATTTCTGTGGCAGAGGCTGGGAAAGGAGCAGCTCTGTGACAGAACTGCGTGGCCTTAAATCAACTTTTTTTCTTTTTTCCCAGTGTGTTGCATTTGCTGCACACCTGACTCCAGCAGTGAGAGTTGATTCTGTAGTGTTTTTCCCTGCTCAGCTGTGTTTCGTCCTAAAATCATTATTAATGGCTTTGAATAGGGGTGTGATCCCATAAATTAGAGAATGACAACTGTGCTGAATTAAGATTGCCAAAGCAATTTCAAGTTTGAGTGCTTGCTCTTGCAGCCTCTTTACGTTGAGGTTTTGTGGCAGTTTTCTAAGTTACAGTGGCAGTTTATATGCTTTTAAAGCAAGGCTGAAACTGAAATGGTTTACCAGGTCTGGAGTTTTCAGACCTAATACTCAAATTACCTGAGCTAAATACTCAAATTACCTGAGCTACTACCAGATAAAGTAGCTGACATCAGCATACTGTTGTCATCAGTTCTGCCTGCCAGCTCTGAGCTCTGTATTCACGAGGAATCTCAGACTGCAGGGAGAACTTTGTGTGAAATCCTCACTGATACCATGCCTTGTGCACTGCCAGACCAAACTCAGATGCTGTGCAGCCCTGAGTACAGCCTAAGCACTTCTGCCTGAAGCACTTTGCATTTACTCTGTTTTCTGACAGAGGAACTGCAAGTCCCAGCATTTGGGGTTACATTCCAGGGTGTGAAAAGGAAGGGATGAGAGCACAGATGCTTCTGTCTGCCCTCATCAAACACTGACTTCTCCTCTCCCTCAGTCTGTCTTGCCTTTAGCTCCTTGTCCTGTGCAGGTGCCCTCCTCAGACTTCCCAAACATCTCTCACTTTTCTGTCCAGCTCACATCTCTCAGTAATCTGTCACCTCACAGACCAGTCCACATGTGCCTTGTTCCCCCTGGCTGTATCTGCTGGGTTTGCTCCTCCTGGATTCTCTCACCCTGCTTTTGTCATCACTAAAATTGGACAGCTTTTCCCTCTTCTCCGTATGGGCTGAGAAGAGGAACTGTTACTTATCCAGTACTTCCACATTCCTGATTTTAGTATCAGTTCCCTGGTGGGAAAGCCTGTTCATTCCAGGACTGATATGAGCTCAGTGTAGATAGAATCTTCTAAAAAAAAAAATCTAGAAACAACCCACCAGTGCTAGTTCGTTGTGATATGAGAAAAACTTGGACTAATTTAGAAAGGCTTGTAAGATTTATGTAGACTTCTGTGTGAGGGCAAAAATCATTCTATAACTTGATGAAACATACTTGTCTGCAAAGCTCAGGGTGGTTGAAATTGCTAAAAAAATGGTGCAGGCACTACTAGAAGCATTTGTAAGCAGTGGGGAAATAAAAATTTCAGAGATTCATGTAGTAGCTTTAAAATGTGATGCTACTATGTCAGCTGCATTGCAGCAAAGGAAAGGAGAGAGGCAGTCTTAAAAGCATTAAATTCTTGGATCAGTGCTGGATTTTTATATTGGGGAATAATAGAAAGTGGTCAGTGTATTTCCTGAAATTTTATACTGAGGTACACAGAATGCCTTATTAAAACAGCAAAGAAATGCTTGGGCCCTGCACTGTGTGCAGTAGTGCCTAGAGGATATCCTACATAAAACCAGCCCCACCATGCCTTAGGCTGGGGTGCTTCTCAAGTTTCTCAGAAGTGCTGGCAGCAGAAGTGGTGTGGGAAGCAGTGGAGGAGGGAGGCAGGGTGGAAGAGTACTCCTGGCTGGCAGGGCAGGAATGAGGCAGCTGCTGCAGAGCCCTTCCCAGCTCTGCCCGGGATGGAATACGGAACACGCTGGGCACTAACGACTGTCCTGTGATCCTGGCACTGGGCTGCAAGGTAACTGGTTTTGGTTAGGCTGGTGAAGCACTTCACCTTGGTTTCACTAAATACTTATGTACAGACTAACAGCAAAACTGCTGCTGTCCCTCTCCTGTCTTTCCCCGTTGTTTAACTAACCTTTGTGTTTCTCCTAGTGCTCTAACTTGGATTTTCTGATTGTGTTGTGAGTGATTGTCATCCTTTTATCTACCACATACTAATGTTGGGAAGACTCTGCTCTGTGCCTAGTCTAGCTCTTACAATGTGCTGATATTTAAGAAACTCTGGCCTTTCATTGCTGATTTCTAGATCTGCTTCGTCGAGGAACAGGGACTGTTTTACCCATTTTGTTTATTTCGTTTTCATCTATTATTTTTAGATAGCTGAGATTTGTAATTACAGCATATGCTAAGGTCATAGGCAAGTCTTCTAAAAACAATCCAAACCTGTGCCATGAAAGGTGAATCCACAGATGGAGAACAATTTACAAATCCCATTGATCTGGTTTAAGGAAGTCAGCTGCTTGCTTTCTTCCCCTCAAACACAAGAGTTCTTCAGTCACTGTCCTGTATTTCTGAATTGCTATTAAGTGTTGAAGATTGATTAGAAATTGTGTTGTTAGAGCATTTTCTACTTACTCATTTAACACTTCAATAATATGCAAGCAAACTGATATTTTAAGGACTACTTAACTTTTGTTTATCCCATGAGAAAACCCTTGTTTCTTATTTCTAATTGTATATTTTGTTCCTGGATGGTCAGTATTGACATGAAAATGTCAAATTCTATTGACAAAATTGCCTCTTGAAAGTAAGACTGTGTAGAGCAACAAATAAAACTCAAGCCAGGCCATATTGCTAGCATTTATATTTGACATTTGTAATTCCAGATAGATGGTTTCAAAAATTTCCTGAGGAGATAGGTTTATCTTATGTATTCATCTGAGTTTGTTTTTTGGTTTTGTTTTTTTTTACATTAATTTATTTTAAAAGAATGAAAACCTATGCACATTACTGTGAATGGACATGAAGGCAGATTTGCTGCTCCAGACTCCTTTGAGATTTCAGTTTCTGTTGTCTTTTAATTTCTTTATACTTTCTCCCTTTTTACTTCCCACTGGTTTAAGTTCATGGTAAAATTGGCAGCATGTGCTTTCTGACAGTGAAATTCCTGATGGTGTTGGCATGGAATTGCAGTAATGTGTTGTGGCTTGGGCCCCTCGCAGGAGTGTATCTCGCAGTCAGCCGTGAAAACCAAGTTTGAACAGCACACTATCAGAGCTAAACAGATAATAGATACTGTGAAAAACATTATGGACACCATAAACGTTGCAGCAGCAGAGAAAAGGTAGGTGGGGTGGAGGGCTGGTTGGATTTGGTTTGTCCAGATCATCTGAGGAGCCATTTCTGGGCTGGTGATTTTCTTGGGCTTGAAAATCCACTTATATGGACTTGAAAATCCACTTTTATGGACTTGAAAATCCACTTTTTCTGCTTGGTAAGAAACAGACAATTTCCCTGGTATGTCAATATGTCAGTCTTACCATTGTTCACTTGCCCACTCAGTTCTGTTCTTGGTCTGTGATTTCTGTACAGGGATCTTGGTTTACTCTGGTGTTCTTGAGTTGCAATCTGGGTGTTTTCAAACCTTTTTTTTAGAAATATTTAAAATACTAAGTTTTTCTAGTGATATCCAGCATTTCAGAGATGATGTTTGGGCCTGCTGTACTTTCATTAACAGTTACAGTGAAGAAGAAAAATGGAAGGATGTAGATGCTTTAATTTGCAAGTGATTAGAATACTGTAAGGAATGAGATGAGCCCAAGCTAACAGAGGCTTGGCCTCTGGCCTTTTCCAGATTGCATCCTTAAATATCCTTATTCTCTTTTCACTCATGTAATCCTTTAGTGCTAATGATAGCAGCTCATCTGTTCTGTCTGGTAGCTTCATGTATCCTTTGAGGTTTGCATATGTGTACAGTTTTTCCTCACTTTTGTTGCCATCTTGTGTCTCTTGTACACAGTGAACTTGCTGTCACGATTAATCCTTCCCATCCATCTCCTTCCTGCCTGTCAATAATGTGTCTTTGTGTTTCAACAGACTTCACTGTGCTGTCAAACACACTCATCCCCCTGAATATCTCAGTTTTTACAGACTGCCTGTTTACATACTAATTTGTCTCACGTTGTCAGATCTCAGGAAAACATGCTGTGAAATGTTTGAAAATATTCTGATATTCTGCTTCTTTCTGTCAATTGACTTAACCAAAATGTCTGTGGTGATGCCTCTTAGTCTGAATTGCTATTTGTTGTTTCTGCTGGCCCTTCAAGAGGAAATTGCTCCAGGTTTTCAGGAATTTTTGCTTAAGTGATTAAGGAATTCTAAAGAGACTTGCTTGTGACAAGGTTGGTTTCTGCCGCATTCCCTTTGCTTTGCAGGGTCATCAGACCCACATCATTGTTCAGGACTGGTTGAGTGATGTTTGTGAGCAGCAGTTTGATCAGATTTACCCTTTTTTAAAATCAGGGTAGACGAGTTATTAAAGGCCTCGTTGTAATTATGTGACAATGCAGTGCTGACAGTTTTGAGTAGAAATGCTGGTTTTGAGTTGTTTGCTTAGCACAGCCTTTGAATGCTTGTGCACATGGAACTGCCATGTACAGCCCTTGTTGGAGCAGAGCCTCTGCTTTGGGCAGCCAGTGTCACTTGGGATTGCCCCTGGCTGCTCAGAAGCCATCAGCTGGATGGCCCAGGCCTGGTTAAGAGCTTGTTTCTTTCCTGGGGGTATACATGGTGGTGATGGTGATTTCCTTTCTGCTGGGTTAGAGTCCACTCCATGGAAGAGCGAGAAGATCAGAAGGACAGGCTGGACTTTGTTAGAAATCAGCTGAACATTTTGACAGAAGACACCAAGGAAAAAATCAAACGCGTTACCGAGGAAGTCGAAAGCAAAGTAAGTAAAGGCAGTGGGAACAACTCAGATCCAGGTGTTGTCTCCTTTCTCAGGCAGCTCCTTTTGCAGCCCACCCATCTCAGGAAATATGTTTGAAATGTTAGAATGATCCTTTTTCAATTAAAAAGGAAAGAAAAAAAGCTTAAAATGGCAATCTTTCCTGTCTGTTGAGTGATTGAATGATTTCTTGGGACAGTTCATGCAGTTGTCTGTTCTCACTCTGTCTGGAAAAGGTAGCAGAAGCATTTTAGGTGTTTCCTGTGTTTTTCCAGGTCTCCTCTGCCATGACTGATGAGATTTGCCGGCTTTCAGTTTTAGTTGATGAATTTTATTCTGATTTTCACCCTTCTCCTCAAGTATTGAAGCTCTATAAGGCAGTAAGTTTTTTTGAGTGGTTTGAAGCCAGGCTCTTTGTCTTTCCCTTAATTTCTACTTCTATATTTTCATAAATATAAATTTAAATTGCTTAGATTTTATGTGACTTTGTCTGAGCATTGCAGGATTTTTGCTTGGTGACATGCATATCTCTACCCAAAACTGACAAAGGTTGAAAACATTTTCTGCTTTATTTTTGGAAAGAAATTAATTTTTTTCAAAATATTTTTAGTAGTAGAGTGGTTCCTAATTTCAAGTCTTCACTTCCAGTAAATAAGACTTTGTGTAAATAATTTTCACTACTCCTAAAATCAGATAGATCCAAAATAAAATGAGCTTGCAAATAGTCAACACTTTTAATAAAAACTGGTTTGGGATTCTTTAACTTTCATAAATTACTCCTCAAACTCAGTGCTTTAAATTAAAGCACATATACCTGTGTTTGCCTCTTGTGCTCAGACTTGGCTGATGATGCTGACTGCCATAGCTCCCCCCTGGAGTCACAGGATGTTCTGGGGTGAAGGGACTCACAAGGATCACTGAGTCTAGCTCTTCCTCTTACACAAATGGCTCAGATCAAACCCACAACTTCAGCACCATGCTCCAACCAGCTGAGCTCATCTCAGGCTGTTCAGCCTGGCTGATCACCTGGGAGTGCTGCACTTTCAGGACAATGTGTGCTGGTTCACCTCAACAGAGTATCCTGAGCAGGCCCCCATGGGAGTTGGTGGGATGGGTTTGTCCCTGTGCAGAGCAGTGGAATTGGCTGCCATCAAATGACACAGTAAGGGCTTTGCAGGGCAGTAGGTAGTGGATTACTTTTCATTGTCACTGGTTTTTGAAAGTACAGACTTTTATGCCTTTTAATGTTTACAGTCCTGGGGAAATCTTTCCTGTGTCACTTTAGTTAGGTTCTCAGTCCCAGTGTGCAGTTGGAAAGCATGGTATTTCCATGGAAACATGCTTTCTTCCCACTGTAAATAACAGTGCTTAGTATGTAACCTATTCCTGCTCCATATAATGTAACTGATTGGCTAAATACAAACTGATCAGCTTGTGTTCTTTGTAACACTTCAGGAACTGAACAAACATATAGAAGACGGTTTGGGAAAGAACCTGGCTGAGCGCTGCTCCAGTGAAGTCAACCAGTCAATGCACCAGTCCCAGCAGGAGATGATTGGTAGGAGGAGGGAGGAGGAATGGTAACACTTCACATTTAAAGGAAGACAGTCTAAGAAAATTCAATTTTAAAAGAATTTTCCTTCTGATAATGCTTAACATTGATGCTATAAAGGATAAAGGAAAAGCCATGCTACACCAGGACTGAGTGTTTAGCTCAGTCCTTTGTTTCTGGTACTAACCAGTAACAGATGCTGGGGGAAAAGAATAATGAACCAGGGTAAATATAGCAATCCCTCTGCATTTTATGCACTTCTGAGCTGGTACACTGCATCTGGATTAATGGCTTAAGTAAGTTGTAATGGACCTGTCCTTTGGAAACTCATCTAATCCTTTTATAAACCCATTTAAAATTTGGCTTCAATGAGAGACACACCAAATACACTAATTATTAGAAAATGTTCCTGCAGTGTAATGCTCTCCCTAGATTCCTCCAGAATGCAACAGTTCATATAACAAAGGATTTGTGCATTCCCTTTTTTTTTTTTTTTTTCTTTATTAGTAGTAACTTTATTGGACATCCATCTCTATTGGTCTGTTCCTGGTAATAAAAGATTCAGAGCAAGATCATAAAATTACATGAACCTTTCTATCCTCTGTGTAATAATGTTGCCTTTTCTATGTGGCATCATGGAACTGATGGATAAATCAGGTTTTTTCCTTACTCCATCCCTATCTTTTGACCACTGATAGAGATCTTTCGGTTTATTTGAGTCTTTTTTTTCCAGTAGTGCTTCCTTGGCGAGTTGATTTTCATGACTGCTTTCTTGTATCAGAGCAATAAATTCCCTGCTCTGTTAGGGTCAATCCTGCTGAAATGCCACTGATTTTACAAATAAATAAATAATGAACTGATCAGTTTAGATTCTCTTGAGTTGATAAAGCTGGTCAGCAGTGCAGAGATACTGCTTGTGAATATGCTCTTCTTCTAATGTTAACTCATCTTTACTGTTTGTTCTTATTTCTAGAAAATCTGAAACCATTGTTGCCTTCTAGTGTTCAGGATCAGCTCCACTTGCTAATTCCATGCAGGAAGTTTGATCTTAGCTATGATCTAAACTGTCATAGCCTCTGTGCAGATTTTCAAGAGGATATCATGTTCCACTTTTCTTTGGGATGGACTTCTCTTGTAAACCGTTTCTTGGGTCCTAAACAAGCTCAGAAAGTACTCCTGGGATTAGCAGATCCAAACCTACATGTGAGTCCTTCAGAGCCTGGGCTGGTTAATTTTACCTTGATGAGAATGTATTTATTTTTACTCTGTGCCAGTGCTATTTACATGCTTCCTGCTACCTTTCCCTAGATCCATAGTGTGAAATATTTTTGGTGTGGGTTGTTTTTATTGGATTATATTCAGGGTTAGAATGGAACTGAAAACCTCTTTTAAACTTTCTGCACCTGTTACACAAGTTGGTTTTCCTTTGGATTGAACCCTTTCAGTAGCCTATTCCATTTGTAATATTTGGATCCTTAGGTCAGAACCAGCCCTACACAGACCCTTATTCTCTGTTGGAGGAGCTGTCAAAGCCTCCATGGCTCCTCAGGAGCCTTGTGCAATTCTCTGCTGAAGGATTTCCTTCAAGTAAATCAAAACCTGAATATATGAAAATAAAACCCATCTGTGTAGTTCCCTGATGCTTTTGACTCAGGCTGCCATGTTCCCATCTTCTAGATCCCTCGTCCTTTAGCCAGCACCCCGTCTGCCGCCAGCCTTCCCGCCATAACTCCTGAGAACATGCCCCAGGATGAGTTCATGGTTCCTTTGGTGTTGAGTTTAGCCTCGCTGACATCCCGGACCTCCATGAGCATCATCATTGTTGGTGGAGTGGCAAGTAGCACATTTCCTGCTGGAAGGGGGGGCAGAGGCTGAGCTGCTCTGTCCTGCCTGGGGTGTGACACAGAGCGTGCCATGGACTTGACACTGGGCCAGATGAGCACGTGCAGTGCCCTGGATACCACATAGTGAGAAACCAGGCTAATCACTGAGCATAGCTGGGTGTATTCCCTGTGCCAGAAATCTGTGTTCAGTGCCTGAATTAAATGGTGATCTGATGGTACCTCCTTCAGTTTGAATTTAGTTGGAGCTTTGCTTCTTCCTTCATGAAAGAGCAGCAAGCTTCTGTAACCTGCACATTCTCTGTGCCACTGGGGACCAGCTCGTGTGAATGTAGCTGTATTGCTCTGCAGTAATAATATGGAAAACATTTATTTTCTTAAACAAGTCCAGTGAAAGGGCTATGGAGATGATTTTTAAAATATGGATGGAATTAGCTTTTATTCTGTAGGGCAACTTTAAGCTAAGGAAAATGTTGTTTTTCAGGTTTGGAAAACCGTAGGCTGGAAACTGATCTCATTGTCCCTGAGCATGTATGGGCTGCTGTACCTGTATGAGAGGCTGACCTGGACCACTCGGGCCAAGGAGAGAGCCTTCAAGCAGCAGTTTGTGAACTACGCCACCGAGAAGCTGCAGATGATCGTCAGCCTCACCAGCGCCAACTGCAGCCACCAGGTGCAGCAGTAAGTGTCACACGGCTGGCCCCTCACTGGCACAGCCCTGTGTCACTGAAGAGAGTTTGAAATGCCCACCTGAAAAGGCCAATACCTGCATCTGTGTGTGGCTGTGTGTGGTGCTCTGAAGATGTTGTCTCTTTGTCCAGTACTTTGCAGTAGAGATATGAGAGATCATTCCAGTGGAGGCTGAGTTGCTCTGCCCTTGGAGTCCCTGGAAGGATGAGCAGAGCTTCTGCCCCAGGGGCTGCTGTGGGCAAGTTCTGAGCAGCCAGTCCTGGCTCTTCTGCACTGCAGGAGATGAAATTGGCTAGCTTTTTTAACTATTCCCTGAGCTACATAGGAGGGGTGTTCTGCACCCTGGGGGCTGGAGGGCACATTAGCAGCCCTAATTTTCTAAAATAATAATTCAATCAAAATACATCATTTCAAGAAGAGGCTAACGAAGACAGTCACCCAGACATTACTTGGCAGAGACAGGTGGGAAGTTTTGGAAAGAGAAAACAAAAAGAGGAAATAGATCCATCCCTGTGTCCAGCAGCTCTGTGAGGACGTGGAAGAGCTGCGCTCAAACCAGTGCTCCAGTAGAGAGGAGAGGGTGCTTTGTATCCTGCATGAGAGCTTGGGTGCTGGGCCCAGGCTGGTAACTGGGTTTGTTTTCCTTTTGTGTGAGGAGGAGTGTTGGAACAGGTTGGGATGGACGGGTCTGGAGCACTCCTCACCCTGCACAGGGCTCATGTTCCTGTGAGCAGGGCTCTGAGTGTGGCACAGGGTGCTGAGCTTGGTGGTGTGAGGCTGCTCTGGCATCTCATGCCACAGCCGGCGCCCCATCTCAGACCTGTTAATGTTCTGTGAAAATGGCCAGGCATGATGTAGGCATAGACTGAGTTGCATTTGGTGTTTGAGGGTTTCTAGTTTAAAATGTACCCAGTTCTTGTGCTTTCTTCTGTTCTGTACTCCCGTACAGAAGGAGGTTTTGATTGCTGTGTTCTGCACACTGCAGTGCCATGAGATTTTCTTTCTTACTTTTTTTTAGTGTAAACGTCTGTGAATCATGATTATAAACTTGTTTTCGCTTTAGGGAAATGGCCACTACTTTTGCTCGGCTCTGTCAGCAGGTGGATATTACTGAGAAAAACCTGGAAAAAGAAATAGCTAGGCTTTCCAAAGAAATAGATCAGCTGGAGCACATACAAAGCACCTCCAAGCAGCTGAGGTAAGTCGTGGTGTGACTGGCCACAAACATCTCTTAGCCCTGCTGGCTTCAGAGCGATCAGTGCTTGCTGTTACTCTGGAGTTGAACTAGGTTAGTTCAGGTGCAAAGATACCCTGAACAGCTCTGGATAAGTTAAGTAAATGCATGCTGCTGCCTCAGTGAATCAGCTAACCTCCAAAAATACGATTTCTTAGATCATCTTTACCCTTGTCTCTCTTTAGTGCGGGAGACAGGCGTTTCACCAAAATTTTAGTCTCCTGTCGGTAACTTGAGGGTGGCACCTCCCCAAAGCCCTCTCCCCAGAGCAGAGCAGGAGAGCAGCTGTGCTGTTTTGAGTCATCCAGTGCAGTGCTGTTGGTGCCAGTGCTAGGTGCTTGCAGAGGAGGAGCTGCCAGCAGTTGGTGGTTCAAGGACTTGGAAGCAGCCTCAGCTGTAGTTTCCTGTTCTTTCCACCTGCTGAAAGGCTGCCCTGGCTCTGGGCTGCTGCCTCCTGGTCTCGGGCATCCACCCCCACTGATGGTGAACATCTGCCCCCACACACCCCTTCTAAAAACCTGCATTTACATTTTCTTAGTGCTGGGGGTGTGAGTAGAACAAATAGAAATGAAACACTGATATTGATCCTGCTTTTGAGTTGTTTGGGCACTGAAGTAAATCCCTTGCTTTTGTTTGTTTTACAGAAATAAAGCCATTCACCTTGAGAACGAACTAGATCGCTTCACAAAACATTTTCTTCAAAAGAGTAAATAAAACATCATTGTGAACCCTTCCGGTGCTCCTTTGTAGGGCAAAGTAGAAATTTTACAGGTGACACTTCTATTCTATGAAAATGATTTATATTTTTAATGTTACTTTGGTGACAGTTGTTGTAAAACTTGGACTCTGATGGTGAACCAAACGGTAGAGCTGTGGTACTCTTGAGTGTTATGTTCATTTTGCAGATTTTGGGTTAAAAATTACCTTTAAACACTAAATTTTTTGGGCACTTGACAATAAAACCCCAAATCCTCACTGGTTTTCATGAGTATGTAGCAGTGGCAAGTCTCACTTCCTGGCATCCAGGACCTTAGACAGGGAAAGAGCTTAGCCCAGTCTCCTGCTTTCAGCTGCTTAGGAATTGTCCAGGGATGGAGGGTGCTCGTTTTCCATGTGGGTGTGATTTTGTTTAGTGAAGGGAAGTACAAATTCTGGCATGGGAAAGGACTCCTGAGATGTTTGGAAAGCAGGTGCCAGTGTGTTGGGCACCTCTTGAACAAGTGTTCCTCTCGAAAGGGCAGCAAGGATGAGTGAACTGCAGTAAGAAAATGCAGTGGGCTCAAGGCTCCTCTGGCTACATGCTTGAGCCAAGAGGGCACTGGTGACATAAAGTGAACGTGTTTCTTGCAGTTGGTAGTGCAGTGAAGTGGTCCTTTGCCTGTGAGCAGGGGGCTAGAACCGTGCTCAGGTGAGCTCAGGTGTGTCACAGCCCCAGGCTCACAGTCAGGTGAGCTCAGGTGTGCTGAGAGGGTCTGGGCACAGTTGGTGCAGGTTGGCTCAGGGTGCCAGGAGGGACCTGGAGCTCCTGTTGCTGCTTTCAGGGAGCAGGACATGGTGAAACCCCATCTCTCCCTGCCCAGTCTCTCTGCTGTAGAACAGGTCTGCTCTAGCTCAGACTCCAGGCAGCTGTGCTGGAGTCCTTGGCCTTTGCTCACCTCCAGCAAAGCCTCTTTAAAAACCTTCTGCTGCTGCTGTCTGCAGTCATTCAACATCTACTTTTTTCTAACTAGACTTTTAAAAATTATTTTAAAAGAAAGGCCTTATCAGAGTATTTATATATTTTTATGGCTGTGTTAATATTGACTAAGTAAAGACTGAGCTCTAAAGTATAGGAGTTTGCTATTTTCAAGTAACTAAGGGCTGTCTCATCAGGAAATTGATGTAAGATGTAATGCTAGAGGCATTAAGAGAAGACAGCAGTTCCACCAGTGTGTTCAGGTGTTTGTTCTGACTGTGCATGGGGAGTCCTGGGGGTTTGACAGTGTGGAATCCACCCCAGAGAAACAGCCCAACCTTGGTGTGGTGAGGGCAGAGCTGTGTATCTGTGCTCTGTTTGTGGAGCATTTGTATTGACATTGTATCAAGATAAATCTTTCAATGCATGTGTTCTACAGTTATTTATTAAAAAATGTCCTATCCCTGTGCTCCAGTAAGTTCTTTGGCAGCTCTGTCCCAGGTGGAGACCTGCACATGACTCCTACAGGTAATGCAGATCCAGGACAGGTCCCAGCTGCTGCTCTGGGACTGCTCCAATCCCCACCCCAGGGACACTTGGAGGCCAGGGGCTGCTCTAATACAACACTGACAGCTGAGCCAGGCTGGTTAAAAGCACTTGTTTATTGGTTACAATATCAACTCATGGCAACATCTTTCACTGAGCCACTGTACAAATACAAAGAAAAAGATCCATCGTGGAAAAAAAAGCTATAAACAAAGTTCATAGCAAGTGATTTTTTTGTCACAGGGAAGTCTTTTTACAACAGCACTGTTAAAGAACAAATGGCACAAGTCCCTGGTTTTTAATAGCTTAAATAAAAGCTTTAAGACTGTTTCTGAATACATACATAATCCAAAGGCAGTGCAGAATCACTTCATAATTGGTAACATTACCAAAGTTTTCCAAAGTAGTCAGCAACAAGTAAAAACAAAAAAAAAAAGCTGATGAGAGATGCTGGGAACTAAAGGCAAAGTAAAATTAAGCATGTTTAGAAGCACTTTGCTTTGGACTCCTTTGGATGTAATATGTACTACAAGTGTTCAGATGCTTTTATTTAAAACAAACCAAAAAAAAAAAAAAAACCCACAAAGAGAGCACCATTGTGTAAGTAAAACAAAGGCTTGAAATACCTAAGACTATCCACCGAAGTCCATATTAGTTAAAACCTAAACATACTGTGTGGTATAAGAATGTCAGGCACATGTAATCTGTTATCAGTTATATCAATTAGTAACACTGTTCACACATTTACCATAACAACACTGCATTAACATTCTGCATGTATTTTACATAACCAGCAATTGGATAAAAGGCTCTGGTGCCTCTGAAGTGTAGGAGGAGTGTGACCAGCATGCATGCCAGAGTACTGGATACACAGTGCACCATCAACCCATGCTAAGTACTTGGACAGGAAATGCTATCTCAAAACCAGCCATTCTGCTACACAACCATTGATACCAACTAGTCCGATTAGCCAAAACTCTCACCAACATCTTAAAGCACAGCACTAAACCTAGTGGAGGTGACAGTGTCCCCAGAGAGGACAGACTACAACTCTGGGAATGTTTTCATTCCATCTTAAATAATTAATGTGAACTTCATCAAGGGATGAGCAGTTGGTTACACAACTGAAGGAAGGAGTCAACTACTTCCACCCCAGTGAGGACACACTGAGACCTGCTGCTGCTCCAGCTCAGCTTTGCCAAGGCAAGGTCAGGCCGTGTCCTGGGGCAGGAAAAGCCTCTTGAATACACGTTCCCTTTGGAGTGGTACAAATCCTGTCAAACCACGAGCTGTCGGCTCTGCCAGCACTGCCATGGATCTGCAGTTCAGCACAGCAGACAGCAGTGTTTGCAAGGAAAAGGGCTACAGACAGATGGAACCAGGCCCCATTGCTGAAGTGCATGAGCAAACATCAGCACGAAGCCACAGCAGCTTTCTGTGGTTTCCAGGATCTCAGAATGCTTTCTCCACCAATAAACAGCCATCCAAGGCTACATGGGAACAAGCCCAGGCTGGGCACTTGCCTGAAGGGAGAACTCTCTATTGGAAAGTTAGATCACATTAGAAAATGCTGACAAACTCTACCAGAATAAAATAAACCTTGTTACATCAAGCACATGGTTCTGCTTCCCAAGCCGTAACAGACTGCCTTTAGAAGAGAGGCTGGGCAAGAGCTGCTCTGCCACTGTTTGGCACAATGCTCTTGGTTACTCCAGTTCTGTAATGACACAACTTATTTCAAATTCAGCTAACGATGCAGTCTGGCTACAAACTTTTAAAGCCAGTGAAGATGTGCCCACTCATGCTGCAAGACCTGCTGCAAGTTTGCTGTCATTGGTGCACAAGCTGCACACTTGGGCCCACATCAACTGCAGGCACACACCAGTTTCTTTGAAATTCAAAGCCGGGGTAAAACCTATCAAGGGTCATTTTAATACCTTCCTTCTTTTAGGAGGAGTTTGAGCTTTTACCATAAAAGCCACCAGCACTTTAGCTGGGGCACTGACCTCGAGAGGTCCCTACCAGCCGTTTCAAGAAGGGAATGCCACAGCCAGAGTCGTTCTGTGGCATCACACAGTACCTGTGGTACTGAAATCTGCAGGCTTGAAAAACAACCCACAGCCAGGGCAGCAGTGGAACAGCAAACATCACCTGGGCAGATCTATCACAGGCTTCCACAGGCTCCAAAGCGCACCAGACGCCGGCTCCCCCGCGGTGCTCAGGCTTCTCCCAGTCTCGTGTGCTGACAGCAGAGCCCCTCAGACCTGGGTGAGCGAGGAGCAGAGGCAGGCACAGCTCTGTGATGCCGTTGGACACCTCAGCAAGTAGTTGGCATTCCTTAGGATTTATTTTAAAAGCAGCTGAATCCAAGAGGCAACAGCCATCCAACAATGACAGTGAAGTTATTTGCAGTAATACCTGTACAAGAGCCATTACCACTGTTACAGGCTACCTGAACTGGTAAGAAAAGTTATATACAGCTGTAAAATTGGTTTTGGAGTTTCACAAGTAGAAACCAGTTTTAATACCAGAATGTAAAAATGGCACCTGTTTCGGCAAAGGTGTTGACTAGGAAATTGGTTCAAAACACACTTCTATGGAAAAGAATTTTTTTAGAAAAAGAATATTTTCTTAAAATTCCTTAGTAACAAATTTCCAGAATGATTCACTCAAGGCAGCTGTGAGTTAAAAAAAATAATCAAGTGCACCACTAAAAAATAAACTGAGTCTGCAAGATCCCAAAGAGCTGCTCACTTAAGAGAGTTACAAGAATTCCATAACAGTTCTATAAATGCAGACAGATCACAAAGCAAAACACTGAAGAATTCCTGTGAGACACAATACAGTGGGATTTTGGTCCTACACCACAGGCTGCTGTTAGGAAATGTTCCTTCTCCAGTATAAGAAGCGCCTTTTTCTTATTTTAAAAGTGAATTTACTGTGATTGACTGGTACATTTATTGGCACCTTCACCATTACAGACATGGCGAGTTTACAGGCACAGTCTGGAAGTACTGAAATTTAGGATTAAAAAATGTCAAAAACTTGACCAAAGTCATCTCAGCCAGAAATCCATGTGGATGTACTACAGGATTCTGGGTCCTTCTCTTTCCTACCTGGCCCAGAGACACCCAGACTCCCCATCAGTTCCAATGACTGACGACTAACATCATCTTCCAACCTGGTGATTTAAAATTCAGGTTATCTTTAAATAGAGGAGCCAATAGACTTAATCCCCCATTCCAGAATAGCCACAGATAATCAGATTCCCAAGGGAACATCCACTGTGAGTGCAGACATGCTGCCAGGCACCAAAAAGTTAAGCAACCTCCCTGGGCAGTTTCAAATGGACATCAGTCACATGATTTTCCTGTCTCTGCACTGAACTGTACTTGGTGGCATTTCTAAGCAACTGACATCAAAATCAGAATCAAATCAGGAAAGGAGCAGAAATGGCTATTTACGGTGTTGGAGCTGCAGAACATCTGGCATCATGAAACCCCCATGGCACAGCCCTCAGTGAGCACACAAAACAAGCACACATCCTCAAGGTTATGCTGGAAGTTTTCAGGGGTCACACAGGTGCAGTTAAGTTACACAATTCCTTTGGTAATTCACACTGCACAGAACTCACAACAAGCACTTTTGGCTGTGGCGTGCTTTGGCAACCCCTGAATCTGGAAGGGAATTACAAGCAATTAACTGCAGAGTTCAATCCTCTTTAGGAATTTAAGCAAAGTCCTCCTGAATTTCTCAGTTGGTGTGGAATGAGCAATCTCTGCACACACTGCTCTGGGCTCTGAGCAGCAGCCAAGTCACTGTGAGTGCAGATCAGCTGGAGCTTGTGAGGAGCCAAACCCACACGTTTGGCCAGAGCCGAGCTGGCCACAGCACTCGGCCACTTGGCTTCTGTATCCACGGACTGCACGGAATAACTGATGCACAAACCTGCAGGGAGGAAGCTAAAATGTCTGGATTTACTTTATTTTCCAATTATTTCTGCTGTTGGTGCAAGTCTACACCTGGCATTAACTCCTTGGTGTCTGGAGGTCATGACTGCCAACAGATGAACCAGGAACCACTGGCTTGAAGGAAGAACCCCCCTGATCAAAAATAGGCAAGCAGGTCAAGAAGTGAGTGAATAAGGCGGTAGGTATTAACTGGGAGTCTCCAGGGCCTTTAAAAAAAATTCAAATGCCTTCCATTATAAAAAACACATACATACCATTGGCTTCACTTTATCTACAGTAAATTCACAAAAACATTTAAAACAGCAATCTAGTTCACCCACTACAAAACTCAGAAGTGACATCTCTGGTTAAAAGCAAAGCTATAAATGTAGTTCCATAAAAAATGCAAACATATTTCTTTACATACAGACAAATGTTACATGATTGGCTGCTATAATGTGTATATTCTGTTATGTACAAAAAAAAGTACAGGATTAGCAGACTGAGCACAAGCAAAAACCCTTCAAGGACAATCTAACCAAACCACCAATAACAAAAAGACTGGCTCTTAGTTTGTCGGTCACCATGATTATGTGTGCTGGCCCCTTTTAAAAAGTCAGTGATTTCTTCCCCCCTCCCCTATTTCTTCACTTGATTTTTTTTCTAGTTTACAGAAAGCCTTTTTGTGTAATAATCAGTGAATAGAAAAACTTCACCTGCAAATACAAGGTAGAAATGTTATTTCACAGCTATAGGCTGCAGCATTGATCTCTCCAGGTCTCAAATGGAGAATGTACATGTTTGGCTCCCAGTTAATTCCAGATTCTGAGAAAACTGTCCCAAGACCCTGTAGCTACAGCCATGCCGTCATCAGTAACACCTAAACAGCTGACACGGTTGTCATGGCCAGCCAGGACACCTAGAAAAGAAGAAGCAATGGAAGTTTAGTGTCTGCAAGATTTCAAGGACTTCA